CCTCTTCAGTGTGCCCCTCCTGCTGATATCATTCATGGACGGCTGGCGGAGGCGTTGCTAGACTCAGGGCGTAGTTTCGTGATGGTTGCGCCTTTCGCTTCGTAGATGGGGTCGGAGTAGATGGGGTCGGAGGATCGCGCCGCATCGCCGATGCATCGGCGATGCCGCTGGATGCGGAGCCCGATTTTCTCCACGCTGGCGTAGCCGATACACCGCCGACGTCGCCGATGCATCGTCGATGCGTAGCCGATACATCGTCGATGGATCGGTGGTGCGGCGCGCTCCTCCGGTCCGACCTATTCGGACCCCATCTGGGAGGCCTCCATGCATGGCCCGATGCTTATGGTCATCGAAGTCCCCATTGCTATCACCGCAACGGCTGAGTTCACGGAGTCGCTCGCCAGGGACCCAAGCGGGGACAAGAAGGCCCAGGGGGGACTGAAGCACCTCAATGGGCAGGTACCGAAGGCGAAGAAACATTTTGCATGTTGGACGGCGCTCGATCGAGCTGGCGAAGCAGAGCGAGGCTTTGGGAGGAGAAGAGCTCCGGGCGATCGCGCCTTGCCAGGCAGATTGCTGTAGCAGGCGCCTCGCTGGCCAAGGGTCTCGTGTAGGCCAAGGTCGTGCCGTGACCGTGGGCTGCCGTGGCGCTCGGATTCACTGTCGGAATGCACCAGAGTCCTCTTCTCCCCTCCTTCTCCAGACTTACAGTCAGAACGCTGAAACAGGGACTGTTTTCGGCTTAGGAGGGGCTTTAGTTTTCTCGCTGTTCGTTAGATCTAGGTCGGGGGACAGTGGCCGAGGCTCGCCGTGGACAGAAAGTCCCTTCCTTTCTTATTCGGCGTTCCGGGAGCACGATGACTGTACGCGCCCCAGTGGATTGACAGCTTGTCTTCAGTGCCAGGTTCACTGTAATTCCGAACTCGCTCTCGCGCATGGGCGCACGATCGATCTAGAATGATGTTGATCGCCGGTTGCTAGTGCCCCCTGTGCCCCCATGTCTAGCTGCTTGAGACAAGTCCCGCCAAGGTGTCAACCAAGCATGGTGGGTAGCAACTATTCGAGGAAGCACAAGAAACCGGCACGTGTGACATCTTGGGTCTCGTGAAGGTTTTTTGGAGTTTGTTGCGTGCCTCTTGGGAGCCTTTTGTGGGCATCTTGGGGGCCTCCTGGAGCTTTTCGGCAGAGTCTTGGGGACGCCTCGGAGGCTCTCGGGGGCTCCTTGGGCCGTCTGAGGGTCCTCTTGGGACGTCTGGGCATTTTCCGAGTCTTTCTTGGGGGGTTCTTTGGGTCGTATTGGGCCATTCTTAAGGACCTAGAGTGCCGTCTGAGGGCCGACTCGGGGTCCTCCTGGACCGCCCTCTGGCCATCTTGGAACCCTCTTTGGCCGTCTTGGGCCACTCTTTAATTAGGCCCTTGTGGGCCGCCTCGAGGCCATCTTGGAGGTTTCCTTGGCCGTCTTGAGCTGACGGAAGCCCGACACCTTGGAGGTTCCCTTGGAGCTCTGGAGTCTTGAAGCTATCTTTGTCCCCGAAAGTCTCCGTGGACCCGGACCCGGGGGCCCCAGGGTCCTGGTGGACCCTTCCTCTCCTCTCTCGACTTTCCCCCCTTTGTGTCGCTTCGGGTTTAGCCTCGGGATAGGGCTCGGCGTGCCTTTCCGTAGCCCTTTGGGCTTAGCGACCTCATTTCCATGTGCTGTGCATAAAGGCTCCCCCTCGCCCTTTCGATCCCTCCTCCCGCCGTGTGCCGCCCAGTGTCGGACAATGGTAAGCGGAGCTGATGGTGAGGGGCAGCAGGGGAGCCCGAGGGCCAGCACGGCCGGAACGGAGGGAGCTCATGCCGGACAAGCTGCCAGCACCCAGACCGACAACGCGGGCCAGGATCCGTGGACGACAGGTGCTCAGTGGTGGTCTGGATGGACGCCAGACGGATGGCGCGCGGCAGGTTCATGGCAGTGGGTCCCCACTGCGGGGGCGAGCCAAGCTGCAGACCCAGCTGTGACGGCTGGCGCGGGGGCGCCGGCGACTGGCGAGACCGACGTGACGGGCGCCTGTCAGGGGTGGCGCGACCGAGGTGATCGCGATTGGAACGCAGGGACATGGACGACTCCGAACCGCGACTTCGGCGCGCCCCCCGTTTGGCTAGGGTGCGAGCACCTCGACGTCTACAAGAGCAACATCCGTGCGTGGTCAGATCGTACGGGATATGCGAAGGAGGTGCAAGCAGGGAAGACGAGACGCTACCCGTGGACATTCAGCTGAAATTCAAGTTGATTCGAACGACTCTCGACGTCAGAGCAGGTACCGATCTTCTGCTAGAACACTTGGCGGTGCTGAGCGGAGAGCGACCGGGAGATAAAGAACGCGAAGCTCACAATCTGGCGCTGTTCGACTATGGCATCCGCCGAGACGAGAGCATCGCTGACTACGTCTTGAGGCGGGACGCCCAGCTAGCCCAGGCTGAATCGTTCGGGCTATCTCTACCGGATATCGTGAAGGCCAGGTTTCTGGAGGAAGGAGCTAACCTGAGTCCGCAAAACCTCATCAACCTTCGAACTCTTGCAGCGGGAGATCGGAGTGCGACGGCAGTTAGACAGGCCTTGCTCCAGCTTGACGTGCGAGAGCGAGGAGTATTGCCAGGCCCCAAGGCGACGGGCGGCAAGACCTACGTGGAGCAGGAGATGGTCGAAGAGGTTCTGCCGCCGCCCTCGCCGTGGGTCTCGGACGTTGACGTATCGACCTACTTTGAGGACGTGGACGACAGTTTCGAGCTGCTCGAGGATGATGCGAAGGTGTTCTTGGAGGCGCTTGACGACCAGGATCTAGATGAGTCCGACCTCATGCCTGTGCTGGCGGCCATCATCGAGGAAAAGATCGGCAAAGAGAAACGTCGTACGTGGGCTGAGGCGCGCAAGATGAAAGCTACCCGTCGAGTGGATCGCGAGTTTTTCGATCGTCGTCGCGCCGCCCGCCCAGGATACAAGCGCATCACCTCCGTCGACTTGAAGAAGAAGACTCGGTGCGCTAACTGCGGCGAGCGGGGTCACTGGGCCGAAGATTGTCGGAAGCCCTACAGGTCCAAGTCTGATCGACTCGCGGGAGAGAAGATGGAATCGGTGGCTGCTGCAACGAGAGGTTCTACGAGTTGGTCGGGCTACACCTTCATGAGCGCGGAGGACGACCCTGCATTCCTGGAGATCATGCCGCTGACGAAGCTCGGGATGGCGGCCGACCGTGTCGAAGGTGTGACGGCTGAAGCTTGTACTGCTGGTCTGGCCTCGGATCCGGTCGACTGGCGCTCGACAGGCACGTGGGCGACCTTCTCCATCGAGGAGTGGGTTGGTCTGGTCAGTGGGAAGATGGTGTCCGAGCTGAATTTGAGGAACATGAGGGACCACGGACTCGTTGACACCGCAGCTGGGCAGGCACTCGTCGGGACGCCGGACATCGAGAACCTGCGGGAGGCCTTCAAGCAGAGGGGCTACCACGTGCACATCGACTGGACGCCCGTGCAGGGCAGGAGGGCTTCGGGTATAGGCGGGTCCGCCGAGCCCGTCGGCCGCGCCTGGGTCCCGTGTTCTCTGGCGGGATTCGGGTTTATCGAGTTCCTGATCCTTGAGGGCCAGGTGCCGCCGATACTTCCAGCAAAGTTTCTCGAGATGATCGAGGCAAACATCGACCTGGTCAGCGACGTGATGACTGTCACGGACTGTGGGGA